CAGTAAAGCCAAAATTGAACCCTTCTTTTCCTCACTCAAAACTTTCCTTTTCAACTCTTTTGGCATGGTCCATAGTTATTTTTTGATTAATATTACGTTTGAGGTACTATTAGCACTGTTTCTACTATTAGCACTGTTTCTGCTATATTGCAAGAGGATAGTGATGACCACAGCAGTGGTTTTTATTCTTTCCCTCATTAAATAAGATTTGGTTCAGGTGATCACCTAATCAGTACCTAATTCAGTAGAATGAGGTGTGCCTGTGTTGGAATTCAACAGACACTGGAATGGAATGGCTGGCATACATGTAGAGATGCTGATTTATAAAAAATACATTTTAATTTTTTCCAGAGCTGTATATGGGGCATACAACAATCTCAGCTCTGTAGATTTAGCTGCGAAGAGACAGAATCACTAGATCATTTATTCTGGTAATGCCCCTATGTAGCTTGTTTCTGTTCACAGGTCCAGGAATGGTTAAAAAATCACAACATTCATTTAAAATGAACCTTAGAAATAGCAGTGTTGGGCTATTTGGAAAGCCATAGTCAGTCAATAAATAATATAATAATACTCGTAGGAAAGGTTCTCATCTTTAGCTCATAATCTGTGGATACTATACGATTAGAAAGGTTCAAAATGTATGTAAAACATCACAGCACAATTGAAAAATATATGGCACATGGAAACCAAACAAGGGTGGTCTATGGTGATAGGTGGGATGGGCTGAGTGGCTGAGGGGTGGGATTAAAGAGCTTATGTTTGGTAATGTATTATTATTATGTGACTGCTTTATATAAAAGTACCATGTATTTAAAATGTATATGTAAAATGTATATGTAAAATGTATGTATATGTAGCAGAAAAGCTGTAAAAAAAAAACTAATATATATATTTGTCCTCCGAAGAGGAAAAAAATTAAATAATGGTTAATTCTGTAATCCCTTTTTCCCTCTCCCTCATTCTGTCCATTCCCTACCCTGCTGTCTCACTCTTTCCTCCTCTCCCTCACAAGGCGTTCAGTCGTGCCCACCGCATCGGGCAGGCCAACAAGGTGATGATATATCGCTTCGTGACCCGTGCCAGTGTGGAGGAGCGCATCACCCAGGTGGCCAAGAGGAAGATGATGTTGACCCACCTAGTGGTGAGGCCCGGCCTGGGCTCCAAGGCTGGATCCATGTCCAAACAGGAACTGGACGACATCCTCAAGTTCGGCACCGAGGAACTCTTCAAGGACGAGATCGAATGTAAGTGACATTTGTTGATTGATTTGATTTGATTGATGATGGATTGTGAGGTATGGGTGGAGGATAAGATAAAGGGGGAGAGGGAAGAATAGAGGAGGAGCAGGAAGAGGATGGAGGGATTTCAGAGGGAGAAATGCGAGGATAGGACGTTTATTTTGTATATATGTTTAGATGTCAGTGATTTGGGAGAATTCTGTAATATGAGGGGTTTGTTAGGGAATACACTTGCATTTTGGGGGTTGTTAGATACATCTTTATATAGATGGATTTTAGTCACATCCTCATCTTTGTTTCACCACCGTTTTCTATTCCCTCAAAGTCCTCTCACCACCACGTATGTCCACTCTCTCTCCCCTACGGTGTCCAGCGGGGGACAACAGGGACGATGAGGGCAGTGTGATCCACTACGACAGCTCAGCCATCGAGAGACTGCTGGACCGGAGCCAGGACGCTACGGACGACACAGACATGCAGAACATGAACGAATACCTCAGCTCCTTCAAAGTGGCCCGTTACATGGTCCGAGAGGAGGATAAGGTGAGAGAGGGAAGGAGAGAGAGAGGTTTGGGAAAGGTGAGGTGAGGTGAGGTTTGGGGCAGGGAGGGGTTGGGGAGTACCTCAGCTCCTTCTAAGTGGCCCGCTACATGGTCCTAGAGGAGGATAAGGTGAGGTACAGAGAGAATGATGGAGAGAGGGGGTTAGAGAGAGAAGTGATAGATAACATTACTGTTTTAGATTATAACTTTTTGTATGCTTTAATGTTTACAAAAATGTGTATGGCACTTTGGTGTACTTTTGTTCCTTTTTTATTCATCTGTGTGTAAACTGTTAACACTTTCCATTGAGCTGTAAGTGGGTTTATAAGTAGATTATATCACATTGGTTGTATGTAAAATGTACTTCATTGTTCTTGCATGTGTGTATCCAGATTGAGGAGGTGGAGCGTGAGATCATTAAGCAGGAGGAGTGTGTGGACCCAGAATACTGGGAGAAGCTGCTGAGACATCACTATGAGCAGCAGCAGGAGGACCTGGCCAGTAAACTGGGGAAGGGCAAGAGGAACCGCAAGCCTGTCAACTACAACGACGCAGCACAGGAGGACCAAGGTAGGTAGTTGGTAACCATCAGTCCTGGTTGTCACGGAGATGGATGTAGGTGTTGTTTATTTATTAGCATGCATCACTATGACAACATGGGCCATTTTGTACTGCCACACCTTCGGCATTCTGAATAACTACTCCTCCTACTTTGTGTCTTGCCCATATATTAGTTCATTCATGATTGTTTTAAATAAAAGTTGTTCTCTTTGATAGAGTTAGATCATGTCATACAATGAGGGAAACAAGTATTTGATCCCCTGCTGATTTTGTACGTTTGCCCACTGACAAAGAAATGATCAGTCTATAATTTTAATGGTAGGTTTATTTGAACAGTGAGAGACAGAATAACAACAAAAAAATCCAGAAAAACGCATGTCAAAAATGTTATAAATTGATTTGCATTTTAATGAGGGAAATAAGTATTTGACCCCCTCTCTATCAGAAAGATTTCTGGCTCCCAGGTGTCTTTTATACAGGTAACGAGCTGAGATTAGGAGCACACTCTTAAAGGGAGTGCTCCTAATCTCAGTGTATTACCTGTATAAAAGACACATGTCCACAGAAGCAATCAATCAATCAGATTCCAAACTCTCCACCATGGCCAAGACCAAAGAGCTCAGGGACAAGATTGTAGACCTACACAAGGCTGGAATGGGCTACAAGACCATCGCCAAGCAGCTTGGTGAGAAGGTGACAACAGTTGGTGCGATTATTCGCAAATGGAAGAAACACAAAAGAACTGTCAATCTCCCTCGGCCTGGGGCTCCATGCAAGATCTCACCTCGTGGAGTTGCAATGATAATGAGAACGGTGAGGAATCAGCCCAGAACTACACAGGAGGATATTGTCAATGATCTCAAGGCAGCTGGGACCATAGTCACCAAGAAAACAATTGGTAACACACTACGCCGTGAAGGACTGAAATCCTGCAGCGCCCGCAAGGTCCGCCTGCTCAAGAAAGCACATATACAGGCCCGTCTGAAGTTTGCCAATGAACATCTGAATGATTCAGAGGAGAACTGGGTGAAAGTGTTATGGTCAGATGAGACCAAAATCGAGCTCTTTGGCATCAACTCAACTCGCCGTGTTTGGAGGAGGAGGAATGCTGCCTATGACCCCAAGAACACCATCCCCACCGTCAAACATGGAGGTGGAAACATTATGCTTTGGGGGTGTTTTTCTGCCAAAGGGACGATGGACGGAGCCATGTACCGTCAAATCTTGGGTGAGAACCTCCTTCCCTCAGCCAGGGCATTGAAAATGGGTCGTGGATGGGTATTCCAGCATGACAATGACCCAAAACCGCGGCCAAGGCAACAAAGGAGTGGCTCAAGAAGAAGCACATTAAGGTCCTGGAGTGGCCTAGCCAGTCTCCAGACCTTAATCCCATAGAAAATCTGTGGAGGGAGCTGAAGGTTCGAGTTGCCAAACGTCAGCCTCGAAACCTTAATGACTTGGAGAAGATCTGCAAAGAGGAGTGGAACAAAATCCCTCCTGAGATGTGTGCAAACCTGGTGGCCAACTACAAGAAACGTCTGACCTCTGTGATTGCTAACAAGGGTTTTGCCACCAAGTACAAAGTCATGTTTTGCAGAGGGGTCAAATACTTATTTCCCTCATTAAAATGCAAATCAATTCATAACATTTTTGAAATGCATTTTTCTGTTGTTATTATGTCTCTCACTGTCCAAATAAACCTACCATAAAAATTATAGACTGATCATGTCTTTGTCAGTGGGCAAACGTACAAAATCAGCAGGGGATCAAATACTTTTTTCCCTCACTGTATATGGTCTCTGTGCTATACGTTAGGTATTGCTAAAGTATTGCTAGTGGTAGCTGCATGGGGTCAGTGGGCCTAGCCTATTGACGGTACACCATGTGCTGTTTCAGAGTGGCATGCTGGTATTTCAGATAACCAGTCCGAGTACTCTGTGGGCTCCGAGGAGGAGGATGAAGACTTTGACGAGAGGCCAGAAGGTAGGCCTCAGTACACAAGGCACAACACGTTTGGAATGAAGCCTTTTCTGTTGAATGTGTTGGGATAGCTCACGTGTCAAACTCCTGTCCTCGAGGGACGAAGGTCTGCTGGTTTTAGCTCCTCCCTTGTACTTGATTGATTAATTAAGATCATTGATTAGTAAGGAACTCCCCTCACCAGGTTGTTTTTGTCTAAATTGGACAGAAATGGAAAGGAAATAACAAAAACCAGCAGACACACAGCCCTCCAGGAATTGAGTTTGACACCCTTGTAACAGATGGATTATTAGATTTGAGATGTTATGTCTGCTACACTCTAGTACCATAATAACTATGCTGGTTACTCTCCTGATTTCCTATCTCTCTCTCTCTTTCTCTCTCAATTCAATTCAATTCACTTCAATTTAAGGGCTTTATTGGCATGGGAAACATATGTTTACATTGCCAAAGCAAGTGAAGTAGATAATAAACAAAAGTGAAATAAACAATAAATATTAACAGTAAACATTACACTCACAAGTTCCAAAAGAATAGAGACATTTCAAATGTCATATTATGTCTATATACAGTGTTGTAATGATTTGCAAATAGTTAAAGTACAAATGGGAAATAAATAAACATAAATATATGTATTTACAATGGTGTTTGTTAATCACTGGTTGCTCTTCTAGAAAGGCGAGAGAGAAGAGCGAGTAGACGGCGAGAGAGAGAGAGAGCAGAGAGCGAAAGGGAGAGAAAGAGTAAGAGAGAGAGCGAGAGAAGAGGGAGCAAGCGCGAAGAGGAGAGAGCGAGAGCCAGAGCGAAGAGCGAGAGAGAAAGGAGAAAGAGGAGAGAGTAGAGGCGAGAGAGGCGCAGAGATAGAGAGAGAGCGAGAGAGGAGTCACTCGATAGCGCGATCTCTCTCTCTCTTCTTCTCTCTTCTTCTCTATCCTCTCTTCTCTCTCTCCCTCTCTCTCTCTCTCTCTCCCCCTTTCCTCTTCTCTCTATCTTTATCCAGGTTCTCGCCGACAGTCCCGTCGCCAGATGAGGAACGAGAGAGACAAGCCACTTCCCCCCCTGTTGGCCAGAGTAGGGGGCAACTTGGAGGTTAGACACAATAACCTATCTGCTCTTCTTGCTAACATAAGTTGACATAAGAATGTATAAATGCTGTAGAGGGTCTTATGTCCTCATGTACGTTCCCTTCATCTCTGTATGTAGGCAGTATGTATGGTTATGAATGTGTTATAAAGTTCTTATGTCCTCTGTCCCCTCTACCTCTCTAGGTGTTGGGCTTCAACACGCGCCAGCGGAAAGCCTTCCTAAACGCGGTGATGCGTTGGGGCATGCCCGCCCAGGACGCCTTCTCCTGCCAGTGGCTGGTCAGAGACCTGAGGGGCAAGAGTGAGAAGGAGTTCAAGTGAGTGGAGTGGGACTGACATGGCATAGCGTCCTTATTGTTTGAGTCATAGGCAGGCTACAGTATGAGTTTACACTAAGATCTTCATGCTACAATGTTGATGCTGGTCTGGTCCCTTTCTGTTTTCAGTTTTTCAGTTTTTATCTCTTCCCCCTCTTCCCCCTTTTTTGCTGCCTCTTTCTGCCTTGTTCTCTTTCGCTCCCTCATTTCTCTCATCTTTGGTATCACTCTCTTCCCTCTCTCTTCTCTTTCTCTCTTTCAGGGCATATGTGTCTCTGTTCATGCGTCACCTGTGTGAGCCCGTGGCCGACGGTGCTGAGACATTTGCCGACGGCGTGCCAAGGGAGGGCCTGTGCCGGCAGCCCGTGCTCACCCGCATCGGGGTCATGTCCCTGGTCAAGAAGAAGGTCAGGGGTCAAAGTGTATCTTAGAAACCACAATGCTAAGCTAACAGGCTAGCTAGCTACAAACAGTGCCTTGCAAAAGTATTCAGCCCCTTGGCGTTTTTCCTATTTTGTTTCATTAAACCTGTAATTTAAATTGATTTTTATTTGGATTTCATAAAATGGACATACACAAAATAGTCCAAATTGGTGAATTGAAATGAAAAAAATAATTTCTTTCCAAAAATTATACCCAAAAAAATATGGAAAAGTGCTGCGTGCATATGTATTCACCCCCTTTGCTATGAAGCCCCTAAATAAGATCTGGTGCAACCAATTACCTTCAGAAGTCACATAATTAGTTAAATAAAGTCCATATGTGTGCAATCTAAGTGTCACATGATCTCAGTATATATACACCTGTTCTGAAAGGCCCCAGAGTCTGCAACACCACTAAGCAAGGGGCACCACCAAGCAAGCGGCACCATGAAGACAAAGGAGCTCTCCAAACAGGTCAGGGACAAAGTTGTGGAGAAGTACAGATCAGGGTTGGGTTCTAAAAAAAATATCAGAAACTTTGAACATCCCACAGAACACCATTCAATCCATTATTAAAAAATTGAAAGAATATGGCACCACAACAAACCTGCCAAGAGAGGGCCGCAAAAGGTGGCTCTACAAAGTATTGACTTTGGGGGGGGGTGAATAGTTATGCACGCTCAAGTTTTCTGTTTTTTTGTCTTATTTCTTGTTTGTTTCACAAAACAAAATATTTTGCATCTTCAAAGTGGTAGTCATGTTGTGTAAATCAAATGATACAAACCCCCAAAAAATCCATTTTAATTCCAGGTTGTAAGGCAACAAAATGGAAAAATGCCCAGGGGGTGAATACTTTCGCAAGCCACTGTATCAACCAATAGTAATTGTCTGTTTTTTGGCAAAGCTTTAATTGATTCAGACCTGTCAGAACAGAATCAGACCAGAATCATATGAGGAAATACAGACATTGTACAGTCATTAAACTTCTTTCTTATCCACTAAGACATTTTCCCAGGCTATGACTTCCTTGTAACATAAAGATAAATCAATGACTAGACTGATAAATTAGGGTCAATTTCTTTCCAAGGGAAAGGGACTGTTGGCTAGAATAGAACAGAACAGAATAGAATACTTTATTGCTTGGTTCTGTCACCACCCCCTTCCTCAGATCCAGGAGTTTGAGCACATCAACGGGCGGTGGAGTCTCCCAGAGATGAAGCCAGAGATGAAGCCAGAGGCCCTGAGACCAGAGGTCAGTGTGTCTTCTTCTTCCAGAGCCTCCTCCCCTGGGGGGACCATGAAGACCGCTACGCCCACCTCTGACCCCAGCTGTACCTCAGACAACACCCCCTGCACCTCCAAACCAGGTGGGTGAACAAAGACACGTGCACACACAATGACGCAGGCAGGCACGCAGCTCACAGGATACCCAGCAGAGGGCACTCAAGTCTGACTGTGATAACTGTGCGTGGAAACTACAGTAGGCTACATTCATCAATCTGACTCCATTATTATGTGAATAAATGCTACATGAAATGCATGATACGTTACAGAATAACACAGAGTAAATGACTATCACCAATAGGCTAAGACAACGTGGTTACACGTCTCTTCAGTTCAGAATAATCTCTGAGAGAAAAGGTCTGTACACACATGGAGCTTGCAAAAAAGTTATCCCAACGTAAAAATATATGAAATAAACCAAGTGTAAATATATGGCATACTGCGTACACCAGGAGATTATAGGACTGTGTCTCAATTTACCAGAGAAAACTCTGACCTTTTATCCAGGGGAAAAACAGAAAATCACCACCAACCTAAATGAACATTACTTTGCATTCTGCTGGTGAAAAACAAAAGAACATCACACCCAGATATGAATCTAACCAACTAAATTAAATGTGAATGTTATGACCGGACAACAGGAATGTGTGTGAAAACCGGTCAAACCAACATACCATTTTCGACCCGGTCTCTGAAAATACATCAACCGGAATAAATACATTGCGATAAGACATATAAAAATGTATCCACTTTATAATCTCTTGGAACAAACAATACACAACAATTTTATTCACACAAACATTCACAACGTCAGTTCCAGTTTTAATCACTTTCAGCCTTGAAGGCACCAGGAGACAAATAGAATCTCCTGTAGGTCGATGTCCCTCCGAGGGCTGGGGGTGCGAGTTCAGGATGTACCGTGCTCTTTGAAGTGCGAACATATGGCCGTCTATCCGGACTATGTCATAAATTGTGATTGAATCATCACGCTGTGCTCCCACGCCAGCCAGTCACCGACGCGTCTGAATCACAGAGTCCAAGAAGGTCATCATCTCTCCCACTACGTGTGTGTGTGTGTGTGTGTGTGTGTGTGTGTGTGTGTGTGTGTGTGTGTGTGTGTGTATGTGTGTGTGTGTGTGTGTGTGTGTGTGTGTGTGTGTGTGTGTGTGTGTGTGTGTGTGTGTGTGTGTGTGTGGTGTGTGTGTGTGTGTGTGTGTGTGTGTGTGTGTGTGTGTGTGTGTGTGTGTGAGAGAGAGAGAGATGACCCTCTGCCTGTTTGTTGTGTTCAGCTACCCCTGCTCCCTCAGACAAACTAGAGAAGAATGGGAAAGATGGAGAGAAGGAGGGAGACAAGGGGAAGGAGGTAGAGAGCAACAACAGTGCAGACCATGAAGAGGTGAGAGATTGAATGTTATTAATTACACAGTTCACAGTCTTAATACATTCTGCTATCATAAATCTTGCTACCAATAACTGTCACTGAACATTATGTTTTGTCATGTCCCCAGCCTCCAATCCCTACCAAAGAAGCTCTACAAGAATTATCCCCTAACACAACAACAGACAAGGAAGTAAGTGCTACAAAAGAGGAGGAGGGGAAAGTTGAAGAGGAGAGTAAGGAGAAGGGGTCCTCCGGAGAAACAACTAAACAAGGGTCGGAGGTCAAAGATGAGAAACCAGGTAGTGTAACACTCTCACCTGGAGAGAAGGTGGAGGTGGAGAAGGACAACAACAAGGACAAGACGACGGACACGGAGAAGGAGAAGAGTGAGGAGGCCCCTGTCCCCACAGAAGGGACAGACCACATGGAAAAGATGGAGCGACAGCAACCCTCTGACGTGATGAAAGGTGAGTGACCTCACCTGTCTGTCTGTCTGTCCGTCCATCTGTAACTGTCTGTTAGTTAGTCAGTTAGTTAGTGACTCACTGGCTAGTCACTGGTAGATAGGAATACACTATTAGGTATATTTCAATGGCATCCACTTATCTGAATGAACTTGCTTGTGTTTTTCCTGCTCACAGAGGAAGTAAAAGGTGAGAAGGATGCTGGGAAAGAAATGGCGAAGGAGGAGGTTGCCAAAGACACCTTGCCGAAACCACCCATCACCCCCCCCGAGCGACGGCGCTTCATGTTCAACATCGCTGACGGGGGCTTCACAGGTAAATGTGCCCTATCATATGACCCCTGTCATAGCTGGTACTAACTGTGGCAGAACTCACTCTGTATTATGGGTTGTTTCAGCATTAATTCAACGTTATGTTGATGTTCCCCCACAAAGAGCTCCACACACAGTGACTTAGTACCATGGGTTGTTTTAACGTCAATGTTTTCACCACATTGTTTTGTCAGTTTCACACTCATGTCAGTATCACAGGTTGTTATTATAACATTGACACAACGTTATGTTGACGATCCCCCACAAAGAGCTCCACACGTAGTGGCGGATCACACTCAGTATCACATGTTGTTTTAAAACTGTTTTAACATTGACACAATGTTATGTTGATGTCCCTGTGTTGAGCTACATACACTGTGTAATAATACACTCAGTCCATATCACTGGTTATTACATTGACACAACATTATGTGGATGTTATAACATTGACACAACATTATGTGGATGTTATAACATTGACACAACATTATGTGGATGTTATAACATTGACACAACATTATGCTGACGTTGTCCCCCTGCGGAGCTGCACACACTGTGGCAGAACACACAGATTGTTTTAAAATGTGTATAACGTTGACCCAACATTATGCTAACGTTTCGACCTGCAGAGTTGCATACGCTGTGGCAGAATGAGGAGCGGGCGGCCATCTCCTCTGGGAAGATAAATGAGATCTGGCACCGGCGGCACGACTTCTGGCTGCTGACGGGAATCGTACTGTATCCTTGACTGTGGTTGCCGCGGAGACCGTCTTGTTGTGTTTATTTATCTATCACACTGCGGCAGTGGCTTCTTGTGAAGTCCACCCGCAGGTGCATTTGTATAGCAGAGAAGTATTAGATTGTATCTGCAGTAATCTACACACGGAATAGAGATTGGAACCGTCCATTCTGTTCTATTTGTATGACTTTCACTAGAATGCCAAATCTCGAATCAAACCCTAGCCCACCTACCACAAGAAACGTAATAAAGATCTTAAAGGATTCAATAGGAATAAGCTTGATGATGATAGCCTTATTCATAGGCTTGGTAGAAGTTGTGCTAAAATACTTATTACTATTTACAGATTAGGTGTTGCTTTGGGATTGGCCAATGGTGTATTGAGCTGTATGACCCTTGACCCCTGCATTTTAGTCATGGCTACGCACGGTGGCAGGACATCCAGAACGATCCCCAGTTCGCCATCGTCAACGAGCCCTTCAAGTCGCAGGCCAACAAGGGCAACTTCCTTGAGATGAAGAACAAGTTCCTGGCCCGCCGCTTCAAGGTGCGACACCACATAACATGACGTGACATAACATGACATAGTATGACATAACATGACATGACATAGCGTGAAAAAACATGACATAGCGTAGCAGTGTAGCATGGTATAACATTCATAGCGTAGCATAACTAGAAGGCCAGGAAACACTCAGGACCTTACACATCACATGACATACTATAACATTACCATAACATGACTATGACACAAGAAACCCAACCATGGCACAGACAAGACTGTCAGGATTCAGGACATGCTTTTCTATAATTCAATATCTATTATAAACTCGGTGGTTCTAGCCCTGAATGCTGATTGGCTGAAAGCCGTGGTATATCAGACCATATACCATGGGTATGACAAAACATTTATTTTTACTGCTCTAATTACATTGTTAACCAGTTTATAATATCAATAAGGGACCTCAGGGTTTGTGATATATGGCCAATATATCACGGCTAAGGGCTGTGTCCAGGCACTCTGCGTTGCGTTATGCATAAGGACAGCCCTTAGCCGTGGTATATTGGCCATATACCACACCCCCTCTGACCTTATTTCTTAAATAGAAAACATCTGTTTGAAGGATGTAAGAACAAGACAGACCCTATGAGAGACAGATAATGGGTTGGTATTGCTGACCGGTGCATTTGTGAAATGGCACTCATCCTGTTTTTGACTGTCTCACATGTTTCATACCCTGACCTCAACATCCGCATTCTCTCTCTCTCTCTCTCTCTCTCTCTCTCTCTCTCTCTCTCTCTCTCTCTCTCTCTCTCTCTCTCTCTCTCTCTCTCTGTCTCTCTCTCTCTCTCTCTCTCTCTCTGTCTCTGTCTCTGTCTCTGTCTCTCTGTCTCTGTCTCTCTCTCTCTCACTGTCTCTCTCTCTCTGTCTCTCTCTCGCTGTCTCTCTCTTTCTTTCAATTCAATTTCAATTTAAGGGCTTTATTGGCATGGGAAACATATGTTTACATTGCCAAAGCAAATGAAATAGATAATAAACAAAAGTGAAATAAACAATACAAAATTAACAGTAAACATTACACTCACAAAAGTTCCAAAATAGTATATGTCCATATACAGTGTTATAATGATGTGCAAATAGTTAAAGTACAAAAGGGAAAATAAATAAACATAATATAGGTTGTATTTACAATGGTGTTTGTTCTTCACTGGTTGCCCTTTTCTTGTGGCAACCGGTCACAAATCTTGCTGCTGTGATGGCACACTGTGGTATTTCACCCAATAGATATGGGAGTTTATCCAAATTGGATTAGTTTTTTAATTCTTTGTGGGTCTGTGTAATCTGAGGGAAGTATGTGTCTCTAATATGGTCATACATTTGGCAGGAAGTTAGGAAGTGCAGCTCAGTTTCCACCTCATTTTGTGGGCAGTGTGCAGATAGCCTGTCTTCAGTTGAGAGCCAGGTCTGCCTACGGCGGCCTTTCTCAATAGCAAGGCTATGCTCACTGAGTCTGTACATAGTCAAAGATTTCCTTAATTTTGGGTCAGTCACAGTGGTCAGGTATTCTGCCACTGTGTACTCTCTGTTTTGGGCCAAATAGCATTCTAGTTGACTCAGTTTTTTTGTTAATTCTTTCCAATGTGTCAAGTAATTATCTTTTTGTTTTCTCATGATTTGGTTGGGTCTAATTGTGTTGCTGTCCTGGGGCTCGGTGGGGTCTGTTTGTGTTTGTGAACAGAGTCCCAGGACCAGCATGTTTAGGGGACTCTTCTCCAGGTTCGTCTCTCTGTAGGTGATGGCTTTGTTATGGAAGGTTTGGGAATCGCTTCCTTTTAGGGGGTTGTAGAATTTAAAGTCTCTTTTCTGGATTTTGATAATTAGCGGGTATCGGCCTAATTCTACTCTGCATGCATTATTTGGTGTTTTACGTTGAACACTGAGGATATTGTTGCAGAATTCTGCATGCAGAGTCTCAATTGGGTGTTTGTCCCATTTTGTGAATTCTTGGTTGGTGAGCAGACCCCAGACCTCACAACCATAAAGGGCAATGGGTTCTATAACTGATTAAAGTATTTTTAGCCAGATCCTAATTGGTATGTCGAATTTTATGTTGCTTTTGATGGCATAGAAGGGCCTTCTTGCCTTGTCTCTCAGATCGTTCACAGCTTTGTGGAAGTTACCTGTGGCGCTGATGTTTAGGCCGGAGTATGTATAGTTTTTTGTGTGCTCTAGGGCAACGGTGTCTAGATGGAATTTGTATTTATGGTCCTGGCAACTGGACCTTTTTTGGAACACCATTATTTATGTCTTACTGAGATTTACTTTCAGGGCCCAGGTCTGACAGAATCTTTCTCTCTCTCGTTCTCTCTGCCCCCGAATTGAGTAAAATCACAAATTATGGTATTGCTTAAATCACCGCTGGCTAAAATAAATCTGTAAATATGAATATAATCTCTAGAATTTCTCCAGACAGGTCATCTATCTCCCCCCCCCCCCCCCCCCTCCTCCTCCTCCCATACCCACCTATACTGTATCTCTCTCCTCTCTCTTCATTTTTATCTCTAACATCTTCCTCATTACAATTCAGATCAATTAAATTCAATAGAACTGTATTGCCATGAAATGCAGTACATACTGTAGATATACATTTACATTTACATTTACGTCATTTAGCAGACGCTCTTATCCAGAGCGACTTACAAATTGGTGCATTCACCCTATAGCCAGTGGGATAACCACTTTACAATTATTATTTTTTTTTGGGGGGGGGGGGGGGGGGGGGGGTAGAAGGATTACTTTATCCTATCCCAGGTATTCCTTAAAGAGGTGGGGTTTCAAATGTCTCCGGAAGGTGGTGAGTGACTCCGCTGTCCTGGCGTCGTGAGGGAGCTTGTTCCACCATTGGGGTGCCAGAGCAGCGAACAGTTTTGACTGGGCTGAGCGGGAACTATGCTTCCGCAGAGGAAGGGGAGCCAGCAGGCCAGAGGTGGATGAACGCAATGCCCTCGTTTGGGTGTAGGGACTGATCAGAGCCTGAAGGTACGGAGGTGCCGTTCCCCTCACTGCTCCATAGGCAAGCACCATGGTCTTGTAACGGATGCGAGCTTCAACTGGAAGCCAGTGGAGTGTGCGGAGGAGGGGGGGTGACGTGAGAGAACTTGTGAAGGTTGAACACCAGACGGGCTGCGGCATTCTGGATGAGTTGTAGGGGTTTAATGGCACAGGCAGGGAGCCCAGCCAACAGCGAGTTGCAGTAATCCAGACGGGAGATGACAAGTGCCTGGATTAGGACCCGTGCCGCTTCCTGTGTAAGGCAGGGTCGTACTCTCCGAATGTTGTAGAGCATGAACCTGCAGGATCGGGTCACCGCCTTGATGTTAGCGGAGAACGACAGGGTGTTGTCCAGGGTCACGCCAAGGCTCTTCGCACTCTGGGAGGAGGACACAACGGAGTTGTCAACCGTGATGGCGAGATCATGGAACGGGCAGTCCTTCCCCGGGAGGAAGAGCAGCTCCGTCTTGCCAGGGTTCAGCTTGAGGTGGTGATCCGTCATCCATACTGATATGTCTGCCAGACATGCAGAGATGCGATTCGCCACCTGGTTATCAGAAGGGGGAAAGGAAAAGATTAGTTGTGTATCGTCAGCGTAGCAATGATAGGAGAGGCCATGTGAGGATATGACAGAGCCAAGTGACTTGGTGTATAGGGAGAAAAGGAGAGGGCCTAGAACTGAGCCCTGGGCCCATATACTATATATACTATATGTCAAGAAGCAGAAGAGTTTTATGATGATCCTTGATGAAAGAACTGACTCACCCCCTCTCACCTTGTCTCCCCCTTCCCTCCCTCTCTCCCTTCTCCCCTCCCTCTCTCCCTTCTCCCCTCCCTCTCTCCCTTCTCCCCTCCCTCTCTCCCTTCTCCCCTCCCTCTCTCCCCCAGTTATTAGAGCAGGCCCTGGTGATAGAGGAACAACTGAGACGGGCAGCCTACCTGAATATGACCCAGGACCCAGTCCACCCCGCAATGGCCCTGAACGCCCGTTTTGCCGAGGTGGAGTGTCTGGCCGAGTCGCACCAACACCTCAGCAAGGAGTCCCTGGCCGGGAATAAACCGGCCAACGCCGTGCTGCACAAGGGTGAGGGGGGTGGAGGGAGGATAGTGAGTCTGTGTGTGTGTGTGTGTTTGTTTGTGTCTGTACGCATTTATATCAGTGTTAAAGAAACACAGGTCCCCAGGCTATATTTTTTATTTGACCTGAATCTGTCCAGTAAGCCTCACAGTGCATTTCACATATCATCATCAGGATAGAGTTACAATCTCAGTTACCGGACATTTTCTCATTCAATCTCAGAGGAGTTGGAATGTTTGTATTGTTAATTTGAAAGATCAACATACTTGGTACATTTTCAACTGTTAAATTATGTTGAAAAGGAATGTTCAATACTGGCGGACTGCAGAGTTTGCAGTCTTTTGTTCTAGTCCAGCACCAACATACCTGATTCTCTATGCACTGTGACTCATGTTCGCTATGTGTCCCACCTCTAGTGTATAATGTAGCCCAAACCCAGTGGAACTGAATAGTAGATGGTTGATGGTAGACTTAATAATAATAAATGAATAGGTGCTTGTTAACTGGAACCTGACCGTTGTGGTGTTGTAATGTCAGTGCTGAACCAGTTGGAGGAGCTGCTGAGCGACATGAAGGCTGACGTGACGCGGCTCCCCGCCACGCTGTCCCGGGTCCCGCCCATCGCCGCACGCCTGCAGATGTCAGAGAGGAGCATCCTCAGCAGGCTGGCCAGCAAGGGCACCGACACACACCCGCCCCCGGTGAGCACACATGCATGCAAGCGTACACACACACACACACACACACAACCCCAAACTGGTTAAAATACTGACTTGATTTAAGATTGATCATCAAATTAACCATCTGTCCCTCCTCCCTCTCCTTCCAGAGCATCCCCCCAGGACCCTACGCCACTCCTCAGAACTTTGGGCCCCCCTTCACCCCCACCCCCCCGGGAGTCTTACCCATGGGAGGAGCCAACTACAGCCTGATGCCTCCTGGATCCTTCGTATCAAGTCAGTGGCCCATACTGTACATATACCCATTCACTGAGAAGGGCTTTCCAAAACTACTGATGAAGGGTTCACTGTTCATAGCAGTTAGGATTGACTTTAAGTGTGGCTACTCTGCAGCAGCTGCAATGTCCTCCAAAATCATTCATTGACTGTCTGATATAGTCAGCAATTCACTAGAAAACCTTCATCAGTGGAGCTTTGGAAGAAGAAGAAATGTTTGTGTGTGTGTGTGTGTGTGTGTGTGTGTGTGTGTGTGTGTGTGTGTGTGTGTGTGTGTGTGTGTGTGTGTGTGTGTCTGTGTGTGTGTGTGTGTGTGTGCGTGTGTGTGTGTGTGTGTGTGTACTCGATCCAAGTAGGTGGTCTGTACAGTCCAAGTGGAGTAAACAGATCAGTTTAGCTCAATACACCCACACACATTCACACACACACACATTTCTTCTTCCAAAGAAGTATGTCACTATATTTGTGTTGATTTAGACCTAATAAGGTACAGTTCACAATGCATTGGCTTCTGGCTTTGGCAACTTTGACAAATCTGTTCCAGATATGCATGGGGAATGTACCATCTTTATATGGTTATACATTTTGTAGTGAGACATAATGTAGTGAAATATTTGCAGCTGTTGCTATATATAAATCATGATGGTGAGGTTAGTGCTTCTGTGTAGTAATCAGCAGTTCTTTCTCAAATGGCATTGTGGGATTACTCCATGTTTTATAACACCCTTCTATGCACTTTTTATTGAAGAAAACAGATTGAGCACGTCTTACCCTCATCTATCATGGTTTGATAAACCCTGCCAATGCGGGAGACACTTAGATCAGTGAGATCCACTTCATTTAACTAGGCAAGTCAGTTAAGAACAAATTCTTATTGACAATGACGGCCTACCAAAAGGCAAAAGGCCTCCTGTGGGGACGGGGGCTGGGATTTTAAAAAGTATATATATATATACAGTGGGGAAAAAAAGTATTTAGTCAGCCACCAATTGTGCAAGTTCTCCCACTTAAAAAGATGAGAGAGGCCTGTAATTTTCATCATAGGTACACGTCAACTATGAAAGACAAAATGAGAAAAAAAATCCAGAAAATCACATTGTAGGATTTTTTATGAATTTATTTGCAAATTATGGTGGAAAATAAGTATTTGGTCAATAACAAAAGTTTCTCAATACTTTGTTATATACCCTTTGTTGGCAATGACACAGGTCAAACGTTTTCTGTAAGTCTTCACAAGGTTTTCACACACTGTTGCTGGTATTTTGGCCCATTCCTCCATGCAGATCTCCTCTAGAGCAGTGATGTTTTGGGGCTGTCGCTGGGCAACAGGGACTTTGAACTCCCTCCAAAGATTTTCTATGGGGTTGAGATCTGGAGACTGGCTAGGCCACTCCAGAACCTTGAAATGCTTCTTACGAAGCCACTCCTTCGTTGCCCAGGCGGTGTGTTTGGGATCATTGTCATGCTGAAAGACCCAGCCACGTTTCATCTTCAATGCCCTTGCTGATGGAAGGAGGTTTTCACTCAAAATCTCACGATACCTGGCCCCATTCATTCTTTCCTTTACACGGATCAGTCGTCCTGGTCCCTTTGCAGAAAAACAGCCCCAAAGCATGATGTTTCCACCCCCATGCTTCACAGTAGGTATGGTGTTCTTTGGATGCAACTCAGCATTCTTTGTCCTCCAAACACGACGAGTTGAGTTTTTACCAAAAAGTTCTATTTTGGTTTCATCTGACCATATGACATTCTCCCAATCCTCTTCTGGATCATCCAAATGCACTCTAGCAAACTTCAGATGGGCCTGGACATGTACTGGCTTAAGCAGGGGGACACGTCTGGCACTGCAGGATTTGAGTCCCTGGCGGCGTAGTGTGTTACTGATGGTAGGCTTTGTTACTTTGGTCCCAGCTCTCTGCAGGTCATTCACTAGGCCCCCCCGTGTGGTTCTGGGATATTTGCTCACCGTTCTTGTGATCATTTTGACCCCACGGGGTGAGATCTTGCGTGGAGCCCCAGATCGAGGGAGATTATCAGTGGTCTTGTATGTCTTCCATTTCCTAATAATTGCTCCCACAGTTGATTTCTTCAAACCAAGCTGCTTACCTATTGCAGATTCAGTCTTCCCAGCCTGGTGCAGGTCTACAATTTTGTTTCTGGTGTCCTTTGACAGCTCTTTGGTCTTGGCCATAGTGGAGTTTGGAGTGTGACTGTTTGAGGTTGTGGACAGGTGTCTGTTATACTGATAACAAGTTCAAACAGGTGCCATTAATACAGGTAACGAGTGGAGGACAGAGGAGCCTCTTAAAGAAGACGTTACAGGTCTGAGAGAGCCAGAAATCTTGCTTGTTTGTAGGTGACCAAATACTTATTTTCCACCATAATCTGCAAATAAATTCATTAAATATCCTACAATGTGATTTTCAGGAAAAAAAATTCTCAATTTGTCTGTCATAGTTGACGTGTACCTATGATGAAAATTACAGGCCTCTCTCATCTTTTTAAGTGGGAGAACTTGCACAATTGGTGGCTGACTAAATACTTTTTTCCCCCACTGTATAGGACAAAACACACATCACGACAAGCGAGACACCACAACACTACATAAAAACCTAAGACAACAACATCTTCCTCTCTGTTGTCATTGTTGACAGATGGCCACCTGAAGTAGTCAGGTTCACAGCCAATCACAATCTCTGATGTCAGACTATTTTTTGTCACTTTGGGGCAGATCCACCAGAACTGGAATGATATCATTCTATTTCTATGGTGAATCGTAACTTCCACTTAAGTTGAACTTTCACCTAGTCATGCTTTGATGGCAATGGGAGATTTAAAATAATCGATTTAGGTGCAAGTTAGAATTATCTCCTTTATCTTTTCAACTCAATTGTTAAAAAACCTACAAACGGGTTTCATCAGATATTATGAACAAAGCTAGTAAGAATATGAATCATTCCAGTACGTTGGAACCCAACAACAATTTTGGAAGAATATCTGCAGATGTTTATTTTTTCCTCCTAAAGGTTTATTGTACTCATTAAAGTGCTTTTTAATTAAAATCTCCTAAACTCTCCACCTCAAAGGTTTGTTGGTTTATTGTCCAGCTCCTTCAGTCTTTCTTAGTCCACTTCAACTGCCAACGATGGAATTTATTTTCCCTCCAGTAGTTTGGCTACAGCAGATGTTGACCAGATACGTCTGCTCTGGGGTGTGTTTGTGTTCCAAGACGTTTTGTAATGTAATAGAGATATCTGGTGAAACCTGATACTCCCGACTGGTATTACCCTGTAATTGGCCTGACCCAGTGTTCTGTCCAGTCCAGTCTGTCTGTAGCGTGGACTCTGTCTGTATTCCAACATCTTGATTTATGTAATTGCAGAGGGACCCGTCTGTCAGAGACATAGTATTTTAGGAGATGTGCTTTTTCTGAAAATCTCATTACAGTGCAGTTTCGTACCAAGTTGCGGTGCCAAGATGCAATTCAGTCTCCAGGGACTTTGTACAAAGGTATTTTAAGAGGACACCAAACCACACAGAAGTTACTTGTGTAAACTCCTTGTTGGGACTTAAACTAGAACTCTCTTAGGCCGAGCTGAATGTTGGGCTGAACGCTGGTGTTCGGAAATAGTCGCCAGATCATGCACCGTCTGTTCTCCGTGGGTGTTGAGTCTGAGTGGACCGTGCCGAGCTGAACGCTGTCTGAACGCACAGACGAACGCGCTGAACTCTCTCGCTCTATCTCTCTGGAGAGAGCTATACATATTTGGTACATGGGGGCGCATTGGGTTTGTTGTCTTGATTTGGGTTGCTGTTGTTGCTGACCCCTTTTTAGAAAGAAGGGAGGGAGAGAGAGGGGGGGGGGGGAGGAGGAGAGGGGATATATGAGAGGGGGATAGAGGGAGATAGATAGAGAGGGGAGGAGAGAGAAAGAGAGAGAGAGAGTGGGAGAGGAAGAGAGTGAGGGAGAACAACTGTGAATGAAAAAAACAAGCAAACACTTGTATGACCTCATAATAACCTCCTAATAACCTCAACAGTCTGTTAACCTCATCCCAGACCTGAGTACGCAAAGCTGCTGCTGTCTCAAAATAAACAACTTCTGTCTGTCCTGCTTCTTTTCCCATCACGTAACTTGAAGCTAAATTTGGTAAACTCCAAGCAAAACGCAGTGACATATTGGACTCTCATACCAATCACTTTCTGTGCTTTTCAACAGTCCTGAAATGTGGGAACACAAAATGCATTGCCCTCTGGGAAGTGTATCCGTGGTTGTCGTTGTTTCCATGACACCTCGAGGAAGCTGGCCCTCTCAGTATTGGAGTGTTGAGGGCCAGAAGAGTGTTGTCTCTGCTACAGTACTGCCTGAACTGCCTGACTGTCACTCGCGTTGCCGTGCCATTGCCGTGGCAACCCCTACCTCTTCCTCCCAGTCCCACCCAGTCTCTACAGCTCTGCCGCTTGTCTGCCCCCACAGAAGCCCCAGAAGCCCCGGGTGGCGGCGGCGCTGGCTTCCTGAAGACTAAGGAGCACGACATCATGCAGCGGCAGCGCGTGGTCGACCTGTGGAAGGATGGCAAGTCGGAGGGGTCCATCGGGCAGGAGCTGAGGATGCCTAAGTCCACGGTGCACAGCATCATCGTCAAGTACCGCCTCAGTAACACTGTGGAGAACCTGCCCCGCAATGGACGGCCCAAGAAACCCTAAGGATGGAGGGATGGAGAGACACAGAGAAAGACATCATCCAAACTAAGGAGAGGAGAGGAGAAGAGACAGCACTTTGAAGTAAAGCATGGATGATGGATAGTGAGAGGGAGAGAGAGATAAAGAAAGAGGGAAGATGGTAGTCTTGGAGAGAGAGAGAGAGAGAGAGAGAGAGAGAGAGAGAGAGAGAGAGAGAGAGAAAGGGAGAGGGAATCCAAAAGGTACTTCTTTGAAGTAAAACATGGACAGTGCATGGTGATAGGATGTGAATTGTCTGGCCAAAAAATAGAGGGAGAAATAGGGGAGGAAAGAAGGAAAGAGGCCTGAAAGCTGACTCTGGGGAAAAAGTGTTGGCGGAGAGAAAAAGGCACTGAGAAAAAAACGAGAGCGTATGTTAATGTAATCAAGAGAGAATGTAGGTATGAGCAGCTGAAAGAGTGAAGAACTCAAAGAGATGGGAGAATTGAGGTTTTTCATCCTTCCTTCCCTGTTTCAGACAAATCTACTGGCCCGTTTCTCTCCCTTCTTTCTCCTGTTCTGCTCCCGACCCCGGCCGCAATGTTTTCCCTCCGGAATCATTCTTTATCCGACGGCTGAGTGAACGAGTCTGACCCTGCCCTCCTTCATTCTTCCGCAATTCCTCTCTGAGTCCTGCACACCTCCTCATCCCCCTCTCCCTCACTCACACTCACACTCACACTCACACTCACAAATACTGCAGACCTCACACACAACATGACCTAAACCTATTAAGACGACTCTCTCTTTCCGTAGCTACCCTCCTCTGTTCAATACAAGATACTGGGATGCAAATGCAAGCCAAAGTGGACAATCCTGGAGTTTCTCATTTCAACAAACAACAACAAAAAGAACAAGAAAAAAGAGCGGGAGAAATGAATGACTTCTAAGTATAACACACTCCTTTCCCTGGACTTTCTCACCCCTCGGCATTCCAACCCCGAGACAACCATAAAGGAGCATAGATGTAGAGACAAAATCAACTTCCTGTTTTTATATTGTTGTCGTTGTATTGAACAAATCAACATCTGATGTTGAGAGTACAGTGCCCAATAGGAAGAGAGCTTGGTGTAGAGACATGTAATCTTTGTACTGTATTGGCCAATCATACTTACTGTAGCACCTTTATATGAGGTCACTTTATCTTGGTTGGGATGAGGATGTAGTGTACACTCTTAGAAAAAAGGGTTCCACAAGGGTTCTTCGGCTGTCCCCATAGGAGAGCCCTTTTTGGTTCCAGGTATAACCCTTTTTGGTTCCAGGTATAACCCATTTTGGTTCCAGGTATAACCCTTTTTGGTTTCAGGTAGAACCCTTTTCGGTTCCATGTAGAACCCTCTGTGGAAAGGGTTCTACATAGAACCTAAAATATGTTTTACCTGGAACCAAAAGTGTTCTACCTGGAACCAGTAAGGGTTCTTCAAAGGGTTCTCCTATGGGGACAGCCGAAGAATCCTTTTAGGTTCTAGATAGCACCTTTTGTTCTAAGATTGAAGTGTGTCTGTGTGAAAAAGTGCTCAGCTGGCATTTCCTGTACCTCAAAGCACAAAGCGTGGCTCGACTTGTTGGCCCAAATTCCTTAATGGAATGACATTACAAAGAGATTAGGTTGGATCTGAAAACGGGAAAGTGATATCGTATAGGACATGCCTGTGCACAAACACATATACTCATACAGTGCATTTGGAAAGTATTCCAACCCCTTAACTTCTTCCACATTTTGTTACGTTACAGACTTATTCAAAAATTCTTAAATTGTTTTTCCCCTTCATCAATCTACACACAATACCCCATAGTGACAAGGCAAAAACAGGTTTTTATACTTTTTTGAAAATGTATTAAAAATAAAAAACGGAAATATCATATTTATAATAAGTATTCAGACCCTTTACTCAGTACTTTGTTGAAGCACCTTTGGCAGCAATTACAGACTCAAGTCTTCTTGGGTATGAGCTTGGCACACCTGTATTTGGGGAGTTTCTCCCATTCTTCTCTGCAGATCCTCTCAAGCTCTGTCAGGTTGGATGGGGAGCGTCGCTGCACAGCTATTTTCAGGTCTCTCCCGGGCTCTGTCTGGGACACTCAAGGACATTCAGAGACTTGTCCCGAAGCCACTCCTGCGTTGTCTTGGCTGTGTGCTTAGGGTCGTTGTCCTGTTGGAAGGTGGACCTTCGCCCCAGTCTGAGGTCCTGAGCGCTCTGGAGCAAAGATCACTCTGTACTTTGCTCCGTTCATCTTGCCCTCGAACCTGACTAGTCTCCCAGTCCCTGCCGATGAAAAACATCCCCACAGCATGATGCTGCCACCAACAGGCTTCACGGTAGGGATGGTGCAAGGTTTCCTCCAGACGTGATGCTTGGCATTTCAGGCCAAAGAGTTAAATCTTGTTTCTCATGGTCTTAGAGTCCGTTAGGTGCCTTTTGGCAAACTCCAAGCGGGCTGTCAAATGCCTTTTACAGAGGAACTCTGGAGCTCTGTCACAGTGACCATCAGGATCTTGGTCACCTCCCTGACCAAGGCCCTTCACCACCGATTGCTCAGTTTGGATATGGGGCGCCAGCACTAGGAAGAGTCTTGGTGGTTCCAAACTTCTTCCATTTAAGAATGATGGAGGCACCTGTGTTCTTGGGGACCTTCAATGCTGTACCCTTCCCCAGATCTGTGCCTCGACACAATCCTGTCTCAGAGCTCTACGGCCAATTCCTTTGACCTCATGGCTTGTTTTTTGCTCTGACATGCACTGTCAACTGTGGGACCTTAAATAGACAGGTGTGTGTCTGTCCAATCAATTGAATTTACCACAGGTGTACTCCAATCCATTTTAGAATAAGGCTGTAACATAACAAAATGTGGAAAAAGTGAAGGGGTCTGAATACATTCTGAATGCACTGTATATGTGAATGCATGGGCATGCACACACATACACACACACACACACACACACACACACACAAATCCATGCATCACAGATCTCTGACAGTGTAATTGTGGATATTCTTGTATGTTATCCTAAGTGGAGCTGCAAGTCTGTCTCTCCAAGACTGCTCTCGTCCTAAATGGATAACTATAAATCCTGGTGAACTCCAAAACCTCTGCTGCCTGCGCTCGTTCATGTTGCCAGGTCTTCTCCTCCTCCATCTCTTCATGGTTTTCATTTCCCTCTGAGGTGAATGATAGATTGAACCAGCGCAGTGTCTGTTTAGACAAGCAGGACAGAACACTCTCTCGCCTTCTCTCCTTTCTCTCTCGCTCTTTCTCTCCCCCCTCTCGCTCTCTCTCGCTCTCTCTCCCTGTTTCTCTCTGATAGGCCAGAAACAGAGGCTTGATCAAAGGAAACACAGGTAGAACAGAATGAACAAGGGATTAGACAACACTCCCGAGGAGGGAGAGAGGGGAAGGAGAAAGAAGGAGGGGGAGAGATGGGGCAGTGAAGAGGTGAAAGTGCTGGATTAGTGAACAGGGTGACTTTGGAGTCAGAGAGAGAGAGAGAGGGAGGAGAGAGAGGGAGGGAGAGAGAGATATACGTGGATTTCTCTCGATTTTTACATCTCCCTGTCTCTCCCTCTGTTTCTTTCTCTCTTCGCCTCTCTCTCTTTCTCCCTTCCTCTACCCCCTCTCTCCAACTTTCCAGCGTTATTTGTGTTTCTCGTTATCAGATTTGAACTCACACACACAGTCACACAGCTCTAAGTGAAGTAGTCCCTCTGCCTTCCTTCCCTTCCAGTGGCCTCCACTGGGCCACATGCCATAAGGTTTCCCTGTTCCCCCCTCTGTCTCTCTCTGGCTTTATGTATAGCAGCTGCAGCCACAGCAGCGGTAGTTATCATATCATCACACCCACCGCTCTCCTACAGTACACTATCAGTGCTTTGATCTAGACAGGGGTGTTATGACAATGTATACCTCCCCGGGGCCAGAGACCATTCCACCCAGAGCAGACAGGATCTGCCTTGGTCTGTTTGTGATAGAACACAACCGCGAGGAGAGTTTAACCTCCAGGAGTGAGTTTGAGGTCATGACTACCATCCGTTTAGAACGAGGACAGTGAATCTAAAGAGAAATGGATGTAGATCATGTTGTAGGCTTCCTTTGCAAACTAATGACAAGTAGTGTGTGTGTGTGTGTGTGTGTGTGTGTGTGTGTGTGTGTGTGGGTGTGGGTGTGTGTGTGTGTGTGTGTGTGTGCACATGTGTGTGTGTTTTAGTGGTGTTACCACAGTTACCATGTTGGATGGGAGGTGGAACGACAGTAGCAGCAGACTTTATATACCTCAGTTTAGCAGATGTTAGTGTGCTCCTAGACACACGTGCTGGCTTGAGGCTACTGTTAGTATAAGCATCTGTAATGATCTACTTGGCAAGGTGGAAGCTTAAACACTGTCCTTCCTTGGGATTTGTAAGACTAGTTCCACAACCTATTGGTGTAGTGTGTGTGTGTGTGTGTGTGTGTGTGTGTGTGTGTGTGTGTGTGTGTGTGTGTGTGTGTGTGTGTGTGTGTGTGTGTGTGTGTGTGTGTGTGTGTGTGTGTGTGTGTGTGTGTGTGTGTGTGTGTGTGTGCCATCCACGTATTCCTCAAGCAGACCCCCATTAAACATCGACTATACAAGCTGTTTTTTGTTCGGTTTTATTATTGTAACATTACATATAGCATATAATAATCTGAATGTATATGCCAGCTCGCTCATTAAAAAGGTTGTCCTACGTGCTGTTGGTGTGTATCATTCTGTTCATCTGTCTGAGTATGTGCTGTCTCTCTCTCTCTCTCTCTCTCTCTCTCTCTCTCTCTCTCTCTCTCTCTCTCTCTCTCTCTCTCTCTCTCTCTCTCTCTCTCTCTCTCTCTCTCTCTCTGTATATCTCTCTGTCTTCTCTCTTTGGTCGTCTCTCTCTGTTCTCTCTCTATCTGTCTCTCTCTCTGTCTCTCTCTCTCTCTCTGGTCTCTCTCCTCTCTATCTATCTATCTATCTATCTCTCTCTCTCTCTCTCGCT